CAACGTTTCGGCCTCTATATCTCTGAGATGAGGTATTATGATTACTTGCATTATTTACATTATTCGGACTGTCATCCTCATCTTCATTGCCATATTCACAACGTTTCGGCCTCTATATCTCTGAGATGAGGTATTATTATTACTTGCATTATTTACATTATTCGACTGTCATCCTCATCTTCATTTCACAACGCCATATTCACAACGTTTTTACATTATTCGACTGTCATCCTCATCTTCATATCTCTGAGATGAGATGGGTATTATTATTACTTGTATTATTTACATTATTCGGACTGTCATCCTCATCTACATTGCCATATTCACAACGTTTCGGCCGTTATACGCTCTGGCCTTCTTCAGGTGATTGGAATTTCGAATCGAACCATTTATTTCGTTCACCGGGGGTAGATTTTTCTAGTTCCACGTGCCATGCCTGGCCCAATGGATAAAGACGTTGGTTAGATTCAGTGACTAGAGCCAAAGAGCTGTGAATACAATACCAGGCCACAGCAGTGGTGAACGAAATAACGTGAAGAGTTTGAGTTAAAAGGGAAATAACTGAGACATCTGGAAGAGGCATGCTGTAGTTTTTAGAGTTAGTTCAAGTTGGATTAGACATCAGTCTCCTAACGCTCTTGGTGCGTACAACAGCTGATTTCGGGTGGGTGCATCCTCATTTTGGGTAAGGTATTGCTAAATTGTTCATTAATTTTAATGGTCCCATTAAGTTCGCTTTTGAGTATCAAACGCACTCTTATAATATTCTTTTCGGATCTTTTTCTTCATAATTGAATGTTGTTGTCTCCTTCATTAATTCCTAAGTATTTGTATGTACCATCTCGATCTAGTTCCTTAATCTTGTTGATATCAAGGTCTAAATCTGTTAGGGATTTGCCACGCAACGCTTTGTCTTCCCAGTTTTTCTTTCTTTTTTTCTTTTTTTTTATTGTAATTTCATTTGGCCAAATTGTTTTGCTTTCTGTTTAATTCTTTTGGCGTAGATGTTATTCGCTTCGTTTTTGTTGGTAGGATTTCAGGTACATTAAGCGTGAAGAGTGCAGTATCTCTGTTGACGGAATGGATATGGTGTTTTACTATTTGTGGTGGAGGGTTATTGTTTTTTGTGAGGTATGTTTCCAATCCGATGGTTGGAGTTAGTTCAAGTTGGATTAGACGTCAGCCTCCTAAAGTTCTTGGTATGTACAGCCCATCAACGGGTTTCAGGTGGTGCATCCTCTTTTGTGTAAGCATTTTCCTGGCCTTAGCATCCAATCTTTCAATGTAATTCAACTTCCATTTAATAATGTAGAAGCTGTATGTTACTACAGGTATAGCTAAGTTGTTGATTCATTTTATTGGCCCCATTAAGTTCACTTTTGAGTATCAAACGCACTCTCCTATAATATTCTTTTCGGATCTTTTTATTTATAATTGAATGTTGTATTCCGTCTCCTTCATTAATTCCTAAGTATTTGTATGTACCATCTTGGTCTAGTTCCTTAATCTTGTTGATATCGGAGTCTAAAGGACGAGAGTGATACTAGCACGCAAGGGGTTACAGAGCAAGAGTATGATTGCTTGAGGAAAGGATATAGTGAAATATGGGGACAAGGATCAGGACATCGATGTCGATTGACATTAAACTGGAATATTTGGAGATTAGAGCTATCAGGGAAGCAAGTAAGAGGAAGGGAGTTCCACTGGTGGGAAGTGCAAGAGAAGAGGCTAAATACAATTAATATAGGTACCTCCATTTGCTCGCTGAAAAAAAAACAGCATAACATTATGAAAATAAGCCCAAAATTTAGTAAAAACTGAGTTTTACCGTCAAAATGTTTATAAGAGGAAAGAGCATTTCTTTTTTCATTATTTTATTAAATTTTTTAATCCTTTCTATCACGTTCGAAATTCTGGTTAAAAATCTTTTTTTTACGTCTGCGGTTGACGTAATATTTACAATTAGTGTTTTTTACGCCTTTATTATTATTATTATTGTTGTTGTTGTTGTTGTTGGCGTTGTTGTTGTTTGAAAAATTTCTTTCATTGTCTTACTACAGGTCATTTTTGCCTATAAATATATTGCTATGCATTTTTACCATAATCTATTTCATACTTTCTTAGAAAATCACCAAAGAAAAATCAAAACGCTATTTTTCCCATAGCTGGGACCCTAATAGGTGCTACTACCCCGGATCAGGTTAGACCAGGGAACAGCAGCCAGTAAAAGGTAGTTCCAGGATCCTCAAAACCTTAAATACCCCGATCAGAGATCTTGCTGCCGGATATAGTTTATCGTCATATCCAGAAACAAAATCGAACAAACATTCAGACTTCAAGTAAAAAAACTATGTGTTCGTGTATTACACCGTGTGTTAATTCTATACTTTTTAACACAAATTTTCATAAGGGTTACTTGTATTTGTTTTAGATATATTTGTTGTAGCATACCTACGGACGATAATGGGTATGCCCCCATTCACATAAATACAGTAGTAAATACTGTATGTTGGTCTGCAGTTGGAGATTCGTCTCCGGACAAAGAGGATCCTCAGACGAGGCTATGCCGAAGGGCAGGGTCTTGTCTCGGGAAACAGCTACCCGGCCCCGTTTTATACGGGGTCTACGGGGAATTTTTGGCCGAGCTTACGGGCTCGGATACCCCGCATTAAATTTGCCCTTGTGCCACATCTGACTGCGTGGGGTGGTTAGTAGATATACTAGAGTTGGAGATTCATTGTGGAATTCACTTAACTCACTTCTAGCAGTTGACTACTTCTGCGCGCCGCTGGCGAATCTTATATGCGTTGTTCATGTCCTAAGTATTATCGTTCATTACCAGCCTTCGTGTGATTATTCTATTCACTGACCTTCCCTAGGTTACAACATTTTGGCGACGAGGATGAGACAAAATTATGACAATATTTAATAAAATTAAAAATATATTAATTAGTTGTAATTCCACCCTGCTGCCCACTTTTTTTTCTAACCGCCCTTTTGTTTCTTTACGAAACTGGATCTTCCCACCAGTGTTGGGATCAGGGCGATACTACCAAATTGAGAAATCCTAGGAGTATTGTGATTGTGCGCAAGCCCATCTCGTAGACCGTTCCATGAGTTTTATGAGCTCGATCTTAACTGGGTGCTCTAATACCATAGTCTTGTACCATCATATGCTTTATAAATCACTGTTTAGCTGCCTATAGTAAGTAGAGGGCATCGTAGATAATTACTGGTCGTGTTTTCGATCCTCACTAAATATCACATGCATCCATCTTGCACCTCTACAAATCTACCGTCCGTCCATGCATTGAATACTGCTGCCATATCTGGTCTGGTGATCCTGCTGAAAAATCTTGAGATTCTTGATCAAATCCAATCCAATCATTCCTGACCAGGCCTCTTGACTCCAGTTACTTTCTCACTGGCATAACGTCGCGTCACTTTGCCTTTTCTACAAATATTTTCTTGGCAACTGCTCGGACGAGCTTCCACCCACCCCACTGGTGCTTTGACTACATGAATTTAAGCGTACGTCAAGGAAAATTTTTCTCATCTTACACATTTATAAATCTACCCTTTGTCCTTGCATTGGATACTGTTGGCATATCTGGTCTGGTGCTCCTGCTGTACATGTCGAAATTCTTGACAAAATCCAAAGATGGGTCTGTAATGTAATCGATCCTGACAGGGCATCGTGACTTCGATCGCTGTCCCACCGACGTGATAAAGCTTCCCGTCTTTCCTACAAATATTTTCATGACAGCAGCTCTGACGAGCTTTTTTTTTTGCCTAGTGTCCCGACTACATGAATTTAAGCGTGCTACTAGATTAGCAACTAGGTCACACTCTATTACTGTTGAACTAGCTAAATGCAACCATCACGTCGACTCAAAGAGTTTCTTTTCTTGCACTTCCCATCTGTGCAACTCCCTTCCGTTTCCTTGCTTCCCCGGTAACTACAATCTTCAAAAATTTAAATGCAACGTCAATCGCCATCTAATGTCTTCTTGGATCCTTTTGATGTTTTTTTGTCCTTTCTTAATCCTCCCTATTCTCAGCCTTATCTTTTTCTTACATTTTCACTCCCTATAACCACACCCCTCCCCTGGTGCTAGTGGCATTACCGTCTTGCTTGGGGTGAAATTATTTTTAAAAAATGGAGATTTATGCTAGACTAAGATCATGGAATTTGCAATAAATATGTACAGTGTAACCCGGATATAAGAGAAACCCGGATATAAGAGAGATTTTTTCTGGTCCCAAATTAGAGCCTGTGTTAATGTATATAAATTAGACCAAACCCGGATATAAGAGAAACCCGGATATAAGAGACTTCTTCTCCGGTCCCAACAGCTCTCTTACATCCGGGTTACACTGTATATATTTATGTGCATTTATACGCGTGTGTATGTGCGTATACATGTGCGCGCATGACGTGTGTGTGTGTGTGTGTGTGTGTGTGTGTGTGTGTGTGTGTGTGTGTGTGTGTGACTGCAGGGGTAGAGGTTGAATTGTATGTGCAGGTGCAGCAAATAACACAGAGTCAATTAAAAAGAAAGAAAAAAAAAACAGAACATACGCCCATCTAATAACGAATTCTAAGATGTTTATCAGTTTCTCTCTCTCTCTCTCTCTTCTCTCTCTCTCCCTCCCTCCCTATTCTGTCTCACTCTTTCTTTCCGTTCTTTACCCTTTTTTTCTATATCCCCATTTTCCCTCTTTTTCTTTTACCTTTTACTTTTCTCCTTTGCCCTCTGTATCTCTCGTTTCCTATTTTTCTCATCCTCTCTTTTTCTCTATTTCTCTTAAATGTCCTCGCTCTCTTCCTTTCTATTCCTCTCTTTTACTCTATGTTTTACTGTTTTCTGTCATTTCTCTCTTTCTCTTTTTCTTCTTTCTTTTTCTTTTTCTTTATATTTATATTATCTCTCCGTAACTCTCTTTCGTTCTTTCTTTTCTCTTTATTTTATCTCTTTCTCTCCTTTATTCTGTTTCGCTTACACTTTTCTCTCTCTGGATTCAATCATCCTCTTTGTCTCTTCATTAGATAGATAGATAGATAGATAGATAGATAGATAGATAGATAGATTGTTATTATTATAGTGATTTAATAATCTTAGATGCGACAAGGCCAACAGTATGGAGAACCCAGTGAGTAGTAAGTTCTCAATGGAAATCACTACTCAGTCGTAAGGGAACCAGCAAGACAAACATCGAGGTTGGATAGATAGATAGATAGATAGATTAGATAGATTAGATTGTTATTATATGATTTAATAATCTTAGATTTCTCGCCAAACATCGAGGTGCTATAGATAGATAGATTCTAGTTTCGCTTAGAACCCAGTGAGTAGTAAGTTCTCAATGGAAATCACTTTAAGGGAACCAGCAAGACAAACATCGAGGTCTAGATAGATAGATAGATAGATAGATAGATAGATAGATTGTTTTATTATAGTGATTTCTAATCTTAGATGCGACACAAGGCCAACAGTATGGATGAGTAGTAAGTTCTCAATGGAAATCAGAAGGAACCAGCAAGACAAACATAGGTGCCATAGATAGATAGATAGATAGATAGATAGATAGATAGATTGTTATTATTATAGTGATTTAATAATCTTAGATGCGACACAAGGCCAACAGTCATGTCGAGAACCCAGTGAGTAGTAAGTTCTCATATGCGAAATCCAACAGTATGGAGAACCCAGTCGTAAAGGGAAATCCAGTCAAGACAAACAAACATCGAGGTGCCATAGATAGATAGATAGATAGATAGATTGTTAGATTTAATAATCTTAGATGCGACACAAGGCCAACAGTATGGAGAACCCAGTGAGAGTAAGTTCAATGGAAATCACTACTCAGATCGAGGTGCCATAGATAGATAGATAGATAGATAGATAGATAGATAGATTGTTATTATTATAGTGATTTAATCTTAGATGCGACACAAGGCCAACAGTATGGAGAACCCAGTGAGTAGTAAGTTCTCAATGGAAATCACTACTCAGTCGTAAGGGAACCAGCAAGACAAACATCGAGGTGCCATAGATAGATAGATAGATAGATAGATAGATTGTTATTATTATAGTGATTTAATAATCTTAGATGCGACACAAGGTCAACAGTATGGAGAACCCAGTGAGTAGTAAGTTCTCAATGGAAATCACAGTCGTAAGGAACCAGCAAGTCGAGGTGCCATAGATAGATAGATAGATAGATAGAACCACACAAGAACAAAGAACATCGAGGTAAGTTCTCAATGGAAATCACTACTCAGTCGTAAGGGAACCAGCAAGACAAACATAGGTGCCATAGATAGATAGATAGATAGATAGATAGATAGATTGTTATTATTATAGTGATTTAATAATCTTAGATGCGACACAAGGCCAACAGTATGGAGAACCCAGTGAGTAGTAAGTTCTCAATGGAAATCACTACTCAGTCGTAAGGGAACCAGCAAGACAAACATCGAGGTGCCATAGATAGATAGATAGATAGATAGATAGATAGATAGATAGATTATTGTTTATTATAGTGATTTAATAATCAGATGCGACAAAGGCCAACAGTATGGAGAACCCAGTGAGTCGGAAATCACTAGTCGTAAGGAACCAGCAAGACAAACATCGAGGTGCTATAGATAGATAGATAGATAGATAGATAGATTGTTATTATTATAGTGATTTAATAATCTTAGATGCGACACAAGGCCAACAGTATGGAGAACCCAGTGAGTAGTAAGTTCTCAATGGAAATCACTACTCAGTCGTAAGGGAACCAGCAAGACAAACATCGAGGTGCCATAGATAGATAGATAGATAGATAGATAGATAGATAGATTGTTATTATTATAGTGATTTAATAATCTTAGATGCGACACAAGGCCAACAGTATGGAGAACCCAGTGAGTATAGAATGGAAATCACTACTCAATCGAACCAGCAAGACAAACATCGAGGTGCCATAGATAGATAGATAGATAGATTGTTATTATTATAGTGATTTAATAATCTTAGATGCGACACAAGGCCAACAGTATGGAACCCAGTGAGTAGTAAGTTCTCAATGGAAATCACTACTCAGTCGTAAGGAACCAGCAAGACAAACATCGAGGTGCCATAGATAGATAGATAGATAGATAGATAGATAGATTGTTATTATTATAGTGATTTAATAATCTTAGATGCGACACAAGGCCAACAGTATGGAGAACCCAGTGAGTAGTAAGTTCTCAATGGAAATCACTACTCAGTCGTAATGGAACCAGCAAGACAAACATCGAGGTGCCATAGATAGATAGATAGATAGATAGATAGATAGATGATAGTGATTTAATAATCTTAGATGCGAAAAGATAGGATAGATAGAAATACTACTCATCGTAGATAGATAGATAGATAGATAGATAGATAGATAGATAGATAGATTGTTATTATTATAGTCTTAGATCCACAAGGCCAACAGTATGGAGAACTTTAATGGAAATCACTCTATCACCAGCAAGACAAACATCGAGGTGCATAGATAGATAGATAGATAGATAGATAGATAGATAGATAGATTGTTATTATTATAGTGATTTAATAATCTTAGATGTCCCAGTTAGTAAGTTCCTGGAAATCACTAGTCGTGAACCAGCAAGACAAACATCGAGGTGCCATTAGATAGATAGATAGATAGATAGATTGTTATTATTATAGTGATTTAATAATCTAGATGCGACACAAGGTCAACAGTAAGAACCGTTGGTTCGCACGGAAATCACTACTCAGTCGGGGATGAGGTGCCAAGATTAGATAGATAGATAGATAGATAGATAGATTTATTTTATAGTGATTTAATAAACACAACAGTATGACCCAGAGAGTAGCTCGATTCACTACTTTACCAGAAACAAACATCGAGGTGCTATAGATAGATAGATAGATAGATAGATAGATAGATTGTTATTATTATAGTGATTTAATAATCTTAGATGCGACAAGGCCAACAGTTCCCAGTGAGCGGAAATCACTACAGTCGTAAGGGAAACCAGAAGACAAACATTTTAGATAGATAGATAGATAGATATTGTTATTATTATCCAATAATCAGACTGACACAAGGCCAACAGTATGGAGAACCCAACTATGGAAATCACTTCAGTCGTAAAACCAGCAAGACAAACATCGAGGTGCCATATATAGATAGATAGATAGATAGGATTGTTAAAATAGTGAAATAATCTTAGATGCGAAGACCAAAGTATGGAGAAAGTGAGTTTTATAAATCACTGTCGTAAGGAACCACTTCGATGTGGATATAGATAGATATATATATATATATATTATAGATTTAATAATCTTAGATGCGACAACAGTAGGAGAACCCAGTGAGTAGTAAGACAGAAATCACTATAGAAACCAGCAAGACAAACATCGAGGTGCCATAGATAGATAGATAGATAGATAGATAGATAGATAGATTGTTAAATAGGATTTAAAATGAATGCGACAAAGACAAAGTATGGAGAACCCAGTTTAAGTAAATACTGCCAGCAAGACAAACATCGAGGTGCCATAGATAGATAGATAGATATAGATAGATAGATATATATTATATATATTTATAATCTTAGAGAGAGAGAGAGAGTGAGAAGTTCTCAATGGAAATCACTACAGACCAGACAAACATCAGGTGCCATAGATAGATAGATAGATAGATAGATAGATAGATAGATATCTTGTTAAATAGGATTTAAAATCAAAGATGAAGGCCAAAGTATGGAGAAAGGAGTTTTTTTAAATAATGGGAAACCAGCAAGACAAACATCAATGATAGATAGATATAGATAGATAGATATATTATAGTGATTTATAATCTTAGATGCGACACAAGGCCAACAGTATGGAGAACCCAGTGAATAGGTTCTCAATGGAAATCACTATCAGTCGTAATAACCAGCAAGTAAACATCGAGGTGCCAGATAGATAGATAGATTGTTAATTTAATAATCTTAGATGCGACAAAAGGCCAACAGTATTTAAGTTATCTAAATCACTACTCAGTCGTAATGGAACCAGCAAGACAAACATCGAAGTGCCATAAATAGATAGATAGATAGATAGATAGATAGATAGATAGATAGATAGATAGATAGATGAAGCGATAGTAAAAGATAGATAGATAGATAGATAGATATTGTCATCCACAGACAGACTTTAGCTGTATCACAGCTCATCAGTGTGGCTAGATGTCCGGTTGCCTCTAGCTGAACCCGGCTGAATTGGCGTAAGTCGAAGATTCTACCGCTAAGCCGTTGGCGCACGGCAGGGATGAAGCTTAATTTGAGCGCATTTATTTTTAGACAAACACACAGTGACTGAGAGAGCTCGATTCGCTTTACCGAAAAGTCTTGCATTAATAGTCACTGTTTACAAACTCGCACTTCCTTCCTAGCGAGCTCAACCGAAATAAACTTTTCAGGAGCATATATATTGTCATCCACAGACACACTGCTCCGCTGTATTACAACTATAAATTTCAAATAGAGTATATATGTAAAAGGACAAAATGAAGAAAGACAAAAGGAAATTTTATAAATATGCCACTTCGATGTGGTATAATATATATATATATATATATAGAGAGAGAGAGAGAGACAGACAGACAGAGAGACAGATAGATAGAGAGAGAGAGAGATTATATCTGTAAAAGGACAAAACAAAATGAAGAAAGTCAAAAGGAAATTTTTTATATAATGGCACCTCAATGTGGTATAATATATATATATATAGAGAGAGAGAGAGAGAGGGGATAAATTTCAAATAGAGTATATCTGTAAAAGATAAAATGAAGACAAAAGGAAAATTTATCTATACGGCACCTCCATGTGGTGTAATATATATATATATATATAGAGAGAGAGAGAGAGAGAGATTTCAAATATGCCCCCGCCCCCGATATGGTGTGATTTTCAACATCATCTTTATGTTTACTACATCCATTGCCATAATTAGCATTTGCTCTCTCTCATATATATATATTATATATCAAGAAAGCCAATTTTTTTTTTATACCAATAACTTAATTATTATCAATTTTTACTGCTTTTATATATATAAAGATATGCTTAAATATTTAAATATTTAAATGCTCTGTTTATAATAAACAGTATTAAATAACATTTACCAGCCTGAATGTGCTAGAAATTTTCATAGAAAATATTCGTCCTCCGACGGGAATCGAACCTGTACCCTATACGGAACCATCATTTAACCTCACGTGCCTTAACCGATCGAGCCACGGAGAATCGTTCGATTAGCAAGGTCGATTTTACTGTTTTTAAACTTCAATCTTCCATGAATCTGTCACATACATTCATATCTGCTCGAAGCGTATCCAAATATAAACAAATGACGTCACAGATGCGTGTGGGGAGGCGTTATTCCGTTAGACGATATAGAAGACCGATCTGAAAGATGACAAGAACACCCCCAACCCAGCCCTTGTTAAAAGAACTTTGCTACACACAGTCTCAACACCGAAATACGATTACAATTGCGTATGTATACGTGCTCGAACACATGGATACATGGATGCCTGTTCCCGCATTGTTCATATATGCATGTGTTTGTGTGAATCATAAGTACGCCTGTATGTGTGTAAGTCTGCGTGCGTATGAGTGTCATTCCAAAACGTACACAGAGAAGATTTCCACCTCCCACCACCACCACTACCACCAAACATAATCAAACAAAAACTGACGTAAATACCTTCAAATTTAAAAAATATATCAGTTTGTCTGATGATCGCAAAAGCGTGAAACCCATGATTACAAACTCATATCCATATAACTAAATATGTAAGCTCTATCACTGATATTGAGCGCTTTCCAATAAGTAACGCGCATATATAATATATATATATATATATATATATATATATATATATATATATATATATTCATGAATTATTCATACAAAAAAAACAAATACAAAAGATTACAACAATACATATATTTTCGTTGTCCTCTTATTACTGAGAGAAAAAACAAGAACAAAATCTATTCCATACCTGAGGATGTCTGTAGGAACAGACGAAAGCTTGTAAAAATAATAAGAACTCATGCAACAGAAATTTATAGAAACAAGGATCTTTTCATTCATAAACAGGTTCGGGGTTTTTGTATATTATTTTAATTGTTCGCGACGATGGATTTCTCTCCAATTAAATCATTAACCTTTGTATTTGTTTTTGTATGAATAATTCATGAATTTGTAAATTAATTGCACCTTTATTGAAATTAAAATAACTGATCCAAATGCAACTTTTGGATAATAAGTGCGACATTACTGTAATTATTGGACAATAAGTTCATGCCACTTTGACAGAAAATTTACCAGTAAGAAAGAATTCACTTCTCACCATAGTTGTATAAGAACGCACAATTGTAAAATATAAATTCAAACTTAGCGTTGCGACAGCACGCTCCAAAAACAATAACTCATTTCTAATAGCATTTTTCGGATTACAACAGTACATATATTTTCGTTGTCCTCTTATTACTGAGAGAAAAAATAAGAACAAAATCTATTCCATACCTGGGGTTGTCTGTAGGAACAGACGAAAAACGTGTAAAAATAATAAGAACTCATGCAACAGAAATTTATAGAAACAAGGATCTTTTCATTCATAAACAGGTTCGGGGTTTTTGTATATTATTTGAATTGTTCGCGACGATGGATTTCTCGCCAATTAAATCATTAACCTTTGTATTTGTTTTTTGTATGAATAATTCATGAATTTGTAAATTAACTGCACCTTTATTGAAATATATATATATATATATATATATATATATATATATATATATATATATATATATATATATATACTAGCAGTAGAGCCCGGCGTTGCTCGGGGATGTAACAGTAAGAGATAGATCAAGTATCGACCATCATAAAGACTGAAAAATAAAATTGACAAAGATTATTGTTTAAGGTTGACGGACACGAATGTCTTAATTAGTTTTTTTTTTTTTTTTTACGAATTGGTCAAACCCAAACTCAAACAAAATATTGTTTTCAATCGTTATGAGTCTACCGATTGAATAGAATTTTATTATAAACAATTGTCTTGTAAATGGAATTTTTAAAGCATTCTGAATGTAAAAATAAAAAAAAAGTGTACAAGACAATAAGAAACACTACCTGCAAAAAAAAAAAAAAAGAAGTTTTGTTGAAATCGGTTGACAAATGTAGGAAATCCGATACCATATATAAACGAACACACACACACACAAACAACCCGTGTTTTATAATAAGTATAACTCGGTATGAGTTGTCCCCCTTTCACTCTTGTGATGACTCTTAATCGTGTTTTCAAATTGATTTCGTGCAAAACAATTGTGTTTTTCCAATTTTGGCGCTGTCAGAACCACCGCAAGGTAATTTTACGTAGTCCTGTGAAGTTTTGTTGAAATCGGTTGAAAAATGTAGGAAATCCGATCCAATATATAAACGAACAGACACGCACACACACACACAAACCTAGGTTTTATAGTAAGTATGATATGATATATATATATATATATATATATATATATATATATATATATATATATAAGCATATATTTTTAAATATAACAGACAATAAATGTTGATTATGTCTGATCATGAGCCGTTCTAATGTTTATATTTTGCTTTGATTTGGGGTGAAAATAAAGACAAAAATTTTCCAACATTTGGATATTTTTATTAAGTTGGTCCTTGATCTAAGCTTTCCTCTTACATGACCCATCTTCAGAGTGGTTATACGGACATTTTAACAAAGATATTCACTGTCGAAGATATCAAGTGTATAAGTGTATCAATTTACATGCCCGTTCAGAGATTGTATCTCTGATACTAATAATAAACCTACTACACATATTGGTTTTACTACAACTACGCTCTCTCGTAGACTTACCTGTCACCTTTCTGATCTTAGTTCTATTAAGCGACATTTCTTAGAAAAAACATTACCATGTACATAATATTAGATAGATATTAGTTGATAACAATACTCACACATACACAAGTAAAAAGAACCTTCAGATATTGGACGCCATCTATATTAAAACGAATCAACCCACACTGAACAAAATTACATTTCAAACTAGTCGCAACACATTACAATGCATCTAGACATATGGTTCTGTTGTTAATATTTCGACCTCTCCCCTGGTATGACGTCATAGAACTACATCATGAATTTACGGCCTGCGTCTGCTATTCCACGACCGTTATCGTCGCATAGCAATCTTCTATATCAACATAAAAGAATATCATCTTTTATGGTGAATATATTTGTTAAAGTGTCTGTATAACCACTCTAAAGATGGCTCATGTGAGCCGAAAGATTAGATCAAGGACCAGCTTAATAAGAAAAATATCCAAACGGCTCATGATCAGACATAATAGACATTCATTGTCTGTTGTATTTAACAATATATGTTTAAATAATGATCTGCTGCCCCAGTATATCTATTATACACACATATATATATATATATGTGTGTGTGTGTGTGTGTGTGTGTGTGTGTACGTGTGTGCGTGTGTGTGTAGTCGTTTATTACTTATTATTTTCTCTCTTTTTTCTTTCTTTCTCTCTCTCTCTCTCTCTCTCTCTCTCTCTTCTTCTCTATTTAATTTCTATCCTTTACTCTCCTTTCTTTCACTTGATTTCTTGTTCGCTTTATTCCCTCTTCTCTATTTTCTTCTCTTTCTATGTATCCTTTTTTCTTTCTTTCTTTCTTTCTTTCCCTCTCTAATTAATCTCACTCTTTTTATCTCTTTTTCCCCTCTCTCTTTCTCTCGCTTCATCCTCCCTCACCTCTCTCTCTCTCTCTCTCGATATATATATATATATATATATAATTCTCTCTCTCTCTCTCTCTCTCTCTCTCTCTCTCTCTCTCTCTCTCTCTCTCTCTCTCTGTCAACAACAAACAACACTGAACAACGAAACATGCATGTTAACTGTTTTTGTTTTTTTTTAGACTCCCAACATGGTGTAACAAAAATTAGACAAATGGAATGTCCGATTTTTCACACCCTCCCCCCAACAACAACGATTGTTTCACCCAGCACCATACAGGCACCTGTTATCAACCAACCAAACATGATGTTATGGTATTCCTTTTTTCTTTTATAGATGGAGGGGCAGGAGAAGTGGGGGGGGGGGATTAAATTGTCGTAATTCCTCAGAAGTTTTGAAATACGCAGCGGATCTTGTCTATTCCCAAGATTCTCAAGAAAAAATAAAATAACAGAGTGAAAACCCAGGCGAAGAAATCTATCCATATTTATTGAAAATAGTTAAGTTTCGCACAAGGCCATGAATTTCAGAGCGACACTGCTGTCCGCTGACGAAACGTTTATACTAAATACAAGTACTGTCCTGAATAGTCATACGAGTGGAAAATTTGAACTTATAAAATAAGTGTACCGGGTTTAAATAAACATTCCGCTGTGAAATTTTAAATTTTAATCGCAGTGCTGAGTTTCAATTCCCTTCTAGGTCCGTTATACAGTGTAACCCGGATATAAGAGACCCGGATATAAGAGAAAACCGGATATAAGAGAGATTTTATCTGGTCCCAAATTAGAGCCTGTGTTAATGTATACATATAGACCAAACCCGGATATAAGAGAAACCCGGATATAAGAGACTTCTTCTCCGGTCCCGACAACTCTCTTATATCCGGGTTACACTGTATTTGCTTACGCGTAAAAACCCATAGAGAAGCTTTTAATCCACCTCTTCTCCCTCCAGCAATGTGTTAATTAGTAGAACTTTTAAACTATTATTATCTCCAAAACATTCTTACAATCTAAAAATAATTTCTGGCTTTAAATAACCTGCAAAGTTTGATAAGCCGTAAAAAACAAATTAATTAATCAAACTTGTTACCACTACTAATAGTAGTAGTTACTATTGCTACAACTACCACCACATCCACTGTTACTACTATTACTACCACCACAACAATCACCTGCACTATTACCACTACCACCTTCACTATTACTACTACTACCACCTGTATTACTACTACCACTACTATGACTATGACTACTGCTACCTTCACATCACTATTACTACTAAGAGTACCTATTATTATTTTTTGCTGTATCAGTAAAATCATTATTATTTCCATAAAATTATTACAATCTAAAGATATTTTCCAGCTTTAAATAGCCTGCAAAGGTTGATAAACCGTAAAAGACAAATCAATCTTGCTTTCACCATTTCAACAATTATAACAGGTAATCTTTATTTTATGGCCATGTGCTTGTAATTTACACAAATATTAGGACTAGAGCCAGAACCTCTTTGTAGTTATTTGGACAGAGGTATTAAAAAAAAAGAACTACTTGATTAAATGATGAAATTCAAACTTGCCAGTTGCTTAATATTAAAAGTACTTACCAAGACATGGATTTCATGCAAGTCAAGGTTTTAACTAAAACGTAATGGTGTAAAAACAATTCAAATATGCAAAAATTGGGTTTCATTTTACTTTCAATAAAAATGTTCTACATAGAACTTTTGAAAGCACGTGCGATACCCTTTTGTACATAAATAAAACTACTCGTAATTCATACAAATATTATGACTAGTGTCAGAAATTGCTTGTAGTTATGTCACATAGATATTCAAAAAGCTACTTGATTAATCATAGAAATTTGACTTGCCATTTGTTAAATATTAAAGAAAAAACATTTTTCGAATCCTCCACAGTACAAACAGACAATTAACAAACCGATGCTGTTAAAATATTTGAGATTTACTTGAATAGACACACTGGTGGGAATTTCAACTTATAAAAATAAGTGTGCCGTTTCAAATAAACATTCCACTGTGAAATTTTATGAGTTTAAGTGGAATGAAATAAGTGTGGGAAAAATGATTTTAAAAATTATAACCGTGCCGTAGCAAAGAAACACTGTGGCGGGTGGTGGGGCTTGAAGGGAATAATTTAACCATGCCGGCACTTGTATTTGGTGAACAAGTGTACTTAACAATACATGGATTTCATTACGCAAGTTGAGGTGGCTTACGGCTACACCACGTGGAAATACCGATTCCCGTACGATTGCAGAAGTTAAGCAACATCGAGCCTGGTCATTACTTAGATAGGTAACCGCTTGAGAATACCGAGTGCTGTAAGCTTGGATGTGCAGGTGGTGTAAGGAATAATGGCTCTGAATTGTTAATCAGAGAGAGTAGTTCAATTCTTTTTGGGTTCGTTATATTCAGTTATGGGCAAATACCTTTGGAAAAGTATGAATCCACCTCGTCTCCCCTCAGCTATGGGTTCATTAGTAAGACTTGTATCCCTAAAGCAAGAATCCCTATACATAGTTACCAATGCACTGATTTGTATTCACTTCCAAATTTTCTTCGAGCGCACCTTGAAGTGAAATAGCCCAATATATTAAAGCATTGGCTTGTGAATTTGGTGACAATGTAATTGTGAGTTCAATCCTGGGCCGGGCAGTGTGTACTTGAACACCATGGAAACAGGGCGAGCAAAAACTGAGCAGTACTAAAATAAGAACTAGATGAGATATCTCTAGACATAGGCAGTGGGACGAGAACAGTCTTCCTCCATAGATTAAATAAAGTGTTCAGTTCAGAATTGTCTGAGTTTCTCAGATTCTTATCCACCTGATGAAGGCCGAGGAGCACAACGACAGTGCAAATAATGTAAGACAACAGCATCACTTCCCAGAATCTGGGAGCTAGTTTTCGCTCCACCTGTATGTATATATATATATATATATATAGTGGTTTCCTATCACGATCTACAAGACGTTCTAAAGAAATTCAAATTTCAGTTTAGTTCTTTGATCCAATTTTGGAAAGTGGATGGGACCGAGAAATTTTCAGCACCCTATCGGATATATAATAAGATTTTACCATCTGCGGAATCGAAAGCCACCATCATAAAAACTGTAGTTACATGTATCCACGCACGAGACGCCACAGAAAAATTCCCAGCCCCACCAAGAAGAGATTCATAAATAATCTCCTGGTTTTGAACTAGATAGATAGATAGATAGATAGATAGATAGATAGATAAGAACAGAATGCGATAGATAGATAGATAGATAGATAGATAGATAGATAGATAGATAGGAATAGAATGAATTAAATAGATAGCTAGATAGAACGATATAGATTGATAGATAAGAAGGAATGTCTTGGAACATGATTCACGCTCTCTCTCTCTCTCTCTCTCTCTCTCTCTCTCTCTCTCTCTCTAGCATGTATACAATCACACTCACGCACTATTATTCACACACTCTCTCTCTTTCTCTTTCTATTCCACCTCACTCTCTCTCTCTCTCTCTCTCTCTCTCTCTCTCATATGCAATTACAGCCGCACACTTTCATGCTTTTTTTTCTCACTCTCTATTTCTTTATCTCTCTTTCTTTTCTTGCTCGCACGTTCTCTCTTTCACACTTTTGCTCTTCCTTCCATTTTTTTCCTTTTGTATAAGATTTCTCCCACGCACTCTATCACACTTCTTATTTTCTCTCTCTTTCTCTCTATCTCTCTCTCCCCTCTCTCTCCTTCTCTCTCTCTCTCTACCCCCCACACACGCATATACAGTCATACGCGCTCTCACAGGCGTCCTCAACCCTTTTTATAATGGTCTTATACCTTCCCTTCTGTATAAATTGACTTTGGTGGTCTTGACATGGTGTCATCCTCACGTCTTAAAAGTGGATGCGACAAGAGAACAATTCCTACAATGTGTTAGCCAGTGCACTGACTGATACAAAGGATACTGAGGAGGCTGGGAAATCGCCGGTGGAGGCTGGGCCTACTTGGGAACCGGCAAATTACGGAAACTGAAAACATTTTCCCTCACATACACACATACCCGCAAGCCCTTCTATAATACTCCTTTAAACAGGTGTGACCACATGCGTGGTACCTTAAATTAAGTGAAGAAATTCACAAGGTTTAGCCTAGTAAGGCACAGGGCCAAGAGACAGGAGTCTTTTCTGGCAGGTTTATACTCGGGTTTAGAACAAGTTCACAAATGTACCCAATAGGTGACACTTGTGAATGTACTACGCCAGTTGTCTTGCCTGTCTTCATTGTAAATTACGTGGTTAAGTGGTGGGATTAAATGGTACTATATACGTCTTCTTTAAAAGATGGAGTTGGTTAGTACTTAGTTAGTACTAGGTTAGTACTTGGTTAGTATGCATTTCTAACTGGAGATATATGATGTCCGTCGTTTTTTGAACAGAACTAGAAGTTTATCCCTTGTTTCCCGTTGAGGATTAGGTTTCCGGTTCCTTCAAAAGTATTTTCAATCTTTTTCACTCCCAGTAAATCCTTGCCTTAGTGGGATTATCGCTTTGCTTGGAGTGAATTGACTAAAAATATTGCAGATCATTACATTTCAAATAAGAGTAGATAAAGTTTGTTTGACGCCCTGTTCACACTCCTTACCGGCATTTTGAACGGAAGTAGAGCTTTATCCCTTGCTTCCTGTTAAGAATTGGGTTTCCGGTTCCTTCTAAGGTCTATCCATGCTCTTTAACTCCTACATGACTTGTAACTTCAAGATGTGCACGTTCATGGCTCTCCGCAACCTCCTATTTTTGTCATGCCATCCATTTGCACAAGTTCACAAGCTCACTTACTCGCCTTTTCCCTCTATCTTTCTGGCATTCAATATGTCTTCTGAGTGTCAAATTCTCTAAGCCCTCTTTCCTCATTTTGTTTCCTTTATTTTTTTCTGATTCTAATTATAAGCGTCATTTTTGTTTCCATTTTCCTCAAAATTTCTTTGTTACTCGCTTGTTCAATCCATGGTATTCTCAGCATCCTTCTGTAGAGACACATCTCGCTTGCCTCAAATCTTTCCTTCCTCTGTCAGGAAATTTTCAAGCATTGACTGCTATATAGGAGGACAGATTTTACATGTATGTTCAGCACACGTTTTCTTGGTTTTTTTTTTGTTTGTTTGTTTTTTTCGGGGGCTTTTTTTACTAACGAAATTTTCCTGTTTCTTGTAGGGCATGTTTTGCTATTCCAATGTGTCTTCGGATTTCGGTGTCCCATTTTCCATCCTTTGTTAAAAGACTTCGCACATATTTAATTGTTTGCGCTTGCTTGATTTTGGCATCTCCAATTCATAACTCGCATCTTAGACTGTCCTCTTGCTGACAACCATACATTCTGTTCTTTTACAATTGACGGTTAGTCCTTTCTTCTCGCTTTCCTTTACTACTCTAATTCCTAACTCTCATCTTGGAATGATCCTCAGGCTGACAACCTTACAATTGATGGTTAGTCCTTTCTTCCAGCTCTCCTTTACTACCTTCTGCAAGCGTTCCTGTAGTTTCCCTTGTCGGCTATCAACACTTTATCTTCTGTATATGTTATGTTGTTGAGTTTGTGTCTGCCAGTAATCAATCCTGGCAGGACTTCTAGTTCTCTCAGGATCGTCTCACTGTAAAGGTCAAGTAAGTTTGCTAAGAGAAAAAATATCTAAATTGTAATTTTTAAAAAACTAGAAATAAATATTTTAAAGACGAAATTAGAATTTTTAATAAGAATTTACATAAATTAAGTTACCTCCCTTAGATAGCGGTATTTTTTTTCGAATTGTACAGCATTCATGCTCACATATTTATAACTTACATTAATTATTTATGTTAGCAATTCACCCCTGAACATGATCATGGATGAGATTGAAAGCACTTCGGAAATAAAATTACAGCGTTTTTCTTATTCAATTTTGTACAGACACTAAGAAATTGACACATGAACTTGACTGGATTGAAATTAAAATAGACATTTTATGTCAACATGCTTTTATATATATATATATATTACAGATTTGAGACACAGACATTCGCGCAGTATCGCCCTCACCACTGTCGAAGCTACTCTTCAAAAAACCGCGTCTCCTATGTTTAATTTTGCATCCGATCACCTCTACTGAATCTAACCTCCCCCAGCCTTAAGGCCATATATAACGTTGAAACGCCGATTCTCGTACCATCACCGAAGTTAAGCAGCGTCAAGACTGGTCAGTTCCTAGATGGGTGACGGCTTGGCAATACTTTGTGCTGTAAGCTTGATTCTGCGCACGTTATGGCTTACGGCCATGTCAAGTTGAAACATCGATTCTGGTACGATCACCGAAGTTAAGCAACGTCGAAACTGGTCAGTTCCTAGTTGGGTGACGGCTTGGCAATACGATGTGCTATAAGCTTGATTATGCGGCCGATATGGCTTACGGCCATGTCACGTTGAAACACCGATTCTCGTACGATCACCGAAGTTAAGCAACGTAGAGACTAGTCAGTTCTGGATGGGTGACGGCTTAGGAATATCAGATAATATAAGCTTGGGTGTGCGGCTGATGGAATGGATGAAGGCTCCGAATTTTAAATCTGTGTGCCGAATTCCCATTCCGGTCAAGTTCTTTATATTCATTTGCCCCCGAATGCCCTTGGGAAGGGCATGAATCTACCTCTACTTCTCCATGTTATTGGTTAATTAGTAGGACGTGTATCAGTAAATAAATACCATTTCGAAACAAATTCTTACAATCGAAAAAACATTTTTCTGGCTTTAAATAACCTAAAAAAGCCGTTGATAAGCCGTAAAAACAATTCACTCGATCAATCATGAGCCGTAATATATATATTTATATCAGGAACAAATGACCAAATATTTTTTAAAAATGTTCGTTTGATAAAGCAGATGCAATAAAACACTTTTTTTCCGACACTGACTTTATTAAATAACAATATTCATTGTTTTGGTCTATTATCTTCTGCCATCTTTCAGACAACTTCATGCAAAACTCTTTTCCAAGATTTTTACACCTATCTTGGCAAACAACTCTCTTTGTTTGATTTTCTGTTTTTTATGAAATGGGTACCGCCAAAAATTTTCTTAAAAAAGATCGTAGCATGATGAAAAAATACCCCAGACTTCATAATAACAAAGTTTTATTGTCAAAATGTTTATGTTATTATTAAGAGGAAAGACCAAAGTATTTTTTTTATTATTTTAGTAAATTTTTAATCCTTTCTGGCATATTCGAAATTTTGAGTTAAATCGCTTGTTTTTCTTGCGTCAGCGGGTGTACTAAAGATTAGCACTGGAAATTTAGCGTCCTTTTTGTGGTAAAATGCACATTCTTTTGAAAATTCTTGCGAAAATCAAATAACTGTCGAATTTTAATTAAATTTCCAGGACTTCTTCACAAATGGAAGGAATTATTCATGAAACGTTTTTTTACAAAGTCCGGATAAAAATATTTTTTACACTCGTTAACCAACACCCCCCCCCACCTCCCCCCCCACACACACTTAATTTTATGAAATGTCGAGAAATTATAATCCCATGAGTTTCGTATTTATATTAGTTAAAAGCAGAACTCCTTGGAAAATTTAAATCATCAATTTGTTTTTGTCAAACAGAAACATCATTTCCCGAAAATCTGCTCCGAATCTTAAAATATAACATGCAATAAAAGTATGAAAAAGTATTAGAAAAACTTTTAATTGCTTTCATAAATAAGATATATTAAGAACACTAATGTCTACTATTTACATTATTCGTACTATTGTCCTCATCTTTGTCGCCATATTTATTACAACGTTTCGGCCGCTGTACGCTTCGGCCTTCTTCAGGTGGTTGGAATATCGAACTGAACCCTTTATTTCGCTCACTGGGGTAGACTGTTCTAGTTCCACGTGCCATGTTTTAATGGATGTCAGTTATCAGTTATCTCCTGTTAATTCCCCTCTCCAAGTTCTCCACTGCCTTAACCAGGTATTGAACTCACACTCTTTGGGTCCTGTCACTGGATCTAAGTAACGCCTTTATCCACTGTGCCATGTGTCCTTGAGCTCCGGAGCGTACAACGGCCGAAACGTAATAAATAGGGCGACAAAGATGAGGACAATAGTCCGAATAATGTAAATAATGTACATAATACCTCATCTCAGAAATATAGACAGATACTGAAAGGCCGAAACATTTTAATAAATATGGTGACGAAGATGAGGACAATAGTCCGAATAATGTAAATAGTGTGCATAATCCTTCATCTCAGAAATATAGACAGATACAAAAAAAGATTAGCACATGTCGCTAGAAGAGAAAAAATGATTTAACCAAGCTGTTAATTTCAACACTACCAAAAACAAAATGTTTCGAATGGAAAGGCAAATCAATTCTAGAAAGATCTATAACTGTTAATCGATCTGAAATGTGAAGTTTCCTGAAAATCTGTAATAAAGAAAAGATTTTATAACTTTCAACCGACATTAACATTAGCGGTCAATGAGCATCAAATGTTGCCTGTATGGAAACGGCTAATATCACTAAATCAACAATTTTAAACAATTGCGGGGAAATTCAGATAAATATCATTTGCGATATTTCTTGACTCGGCTTGTTTGTGACACGGCAATGATGAAGATGTGCAAAAACAGAATTGGAATTCTCTGGAAGTATCTTTCTAAATGCGGTCACAGGCGGAATTCGAACGCATTTCCAGTATAACATTTTTTCTATTATGCATCTTTTTTTCTTTTTTTTTTTTTTTTTTTTTTGAGAGAGAGGAGGGGGTCATCTCGGATTAAGTGGACCCGCTTTAGACACCGACGGGGGGAAGACGCCATCTGATAACAGACACTCGAATCACTCGACAGCTTTTAATTTTGCCAGCCTTCTCTCTCTCTCTCTCTCTCTCTCTCTCTCTCTCTCTCTCTCTCTCTCGCTACCTACTCGCTTTTTTAATGTATCTCTTCGTTTCTCTCTCTCTTGACCTTTTCTCTCTCTCTTGATCTCTTTCTGTTTGTAGTTCTCTTTCTTTTTCCATCTCTCTTCTGTCTCTCTTTCTCAAGTTTACTTTCTCTCCTTTGTTACTCCCTGTCTCTTTATCTTTTTAAACAAAACCATTTTCTCTCTATTTCAGTCTTTTCCACTCTCTATATTTTAGTTGTCTATCTTGTTCGCTTGTACGCTCATATATATATATATATATATATATATATATATATATATATAAACTGTAGGGCTGCACGGTGTTTTCGGTCATGCCCCAGGGAGTACTTCATTTGGTTTAAAGGGTGGGAATGGTAGTGCGCATACCGAATTCCATCTTAAAATTTGATTAGAGTAGAACTGAGGGTCATTCCACGTATCTTACAAATCTGTGGGAGGGCTGGCAACAGTCGCGCAAATCCATCACAAAGAGATGAAAATCACAAAGAGATGAGATCGATATGAACGAGAAATGATAGATAGATAGATAGATAGATAGATAGATAGATAGATAGATAGATAGATAGATAGATAGATATGAACAGACTGAAATAGATATTTATATAGATAGGAATAAACTTAGATAGATAGATAGATAGATAGATAGATAGATAGATAGATAGATAGATAGATAGATAGATAGATAGATAGATAGAAACGGAGATAAATAGATATATACGGATATACTGGGGTAGATAGATAGATAAATAGAAAGAAAGAAAGAAAGAAATAGACTGAAATAGATTAAAATTGGTTGATTTAGGAAGATAGATATAATTACTGTATTTATTCAACATTCAACATGGCGTCCATCACGGCAGACGAAATGACAGCAAGTTTCCCCAGTTCTATATCTCCCTTTCAAAGAATTCGCGACGTAATCTCTCGCCTCTATACTTCTACGTACTTTTAATTCTCCTAAATTCTTTGCAAGGATAATGCGGACATTTCTAGTGCTCCAGTCACTATGTGCACTACCGTCATTTTCATGTACCATAATTTTTGTCGATGTCTGATATTTAACTGCATTTTCAGTCTCTTTCCGTTTCATTTTGACGTCCACTGAAACAGTAATTGACAGATTTTTATCGATTAAATCTTGTCCTCTGGATTGATCACAGTTTAAATATCACACCCTCAAAGCCCTTGTTTCTTTCACTTTTATGTGACGTGTCCCTTGAGGACGTTGGCGATCATGACTCTCTACAGCTTCCTCTCCGTTTTAGCTCTAAGTTATCCTTGCCTCCTTACTATGATTCCCAATCCTTGATCTGCCAACCATTTAAAAAAGCTCGTTAGGCAGGTTATTTGATGTTTTCTTCTGTCCTGCAATATGTCCTCTGAGTATCAAATTCTCCAAGCCTTCTTATGTCATTATGAGTTCCAGAAATTTCAACTGTTTCTTTCTCATTCTCAGTTTCCATAACTTCCTAGTTACTCACATACTCCCTCCATGTTATTGTAAACATTTTTTCGGTAAAACCACACCCCTGTTGCTTGAAGTTTCACCTTCTTCTGTGAAGAAATTGTCCAGCATTCACTGCAATATAGGAAGGTTTTTATTACGTAGTAGTTCAACACACTTTTCTTTGTTTCTAATGAGATACAACAATGGCAACATATCCATGACACATCTTTTTGTACACTCGAGACTGTATACAGAATTGAAAGCCGGTTTTGAATTACCTAAATTCCAGTGTTCTTTTATAGTGTCCTATGAAATAAAAGAAAGGAAAATGGCGACTGAAAAGATACAATTGTTCGCTTGAAAGTAGTAGGTGTTGTGGATTGTTTGCGAAGTCCAAGGAAAATGATTTGAAAGACAAACGAAGCAGTGCCTGATCGGAAGTAATGTCTTGCAAGCCGTTTTGAATAAAGGTACCATCCAGTGATGAAGTTGACTGAAAAAAAAAGTTGATGTCAGTAAAATTACCAACTGTCAGACGTTTTCAAAAATATAGCAAAGTTTCAAAAAGCGAGAAAATGAGTTCAAACTGTTGAAGCAGTGGCGGTCATTACCTTAATAGCTTCATTTCGCTTCTTGTAGACATGAAGACATCTTTTTTTTTTTTTTTGGAAGTTGTCACGGGAGACATCAAGAAATGAAGGAGTAAGAGAAAAAATTCATTTGAAAGAGGAGGAAGAAAAGATGTCAGATAATAGAGGGAAAGAAGGAGTGAGTGAGTTATATAAAGATAAAATTAAAGAGTAGGAGGGGAAATCTGAGTTGAAAAAGGAAGAATGAAGGATGCTGGACAAGAGAAAGAAAAGAAGAGAGAGTGAGTTATATAAAGAAGATTAAAGAGTAGGAGGAGACGAAAACTGAGTTGAAGAAAGAGAATGAAAAGATGCTACATAAAAGAGAGAAAGGAGAGAGTGAGTTATATAAAGAGAAGGTTAAAGAAGAGAAGGAAAAGAAATGAGCTGAAGGAAGAAGTAGGAAAGATGCGGGAGAGAAGGAGAAAGTGAGCTATTTGAAGAGAAGATTAAAGAGCAGGAGGAGGAATCTGACTTAAAGGAAGATGAAAGAGATGCGAAATAAGAGAGAGAAAAACAAAGAGAGTTATTAGAAGAGAAGATAAAAGAGTAGAAGGAGGCGGAAGGAAAGATAAAATTGGAAAAAAAAATTAAAGTGAATTATAAATGAAAGAGTCGGAGGGGAAGAAATTTCCGTTGAAGGAAGAGGAATGAAAGATGTGAGATAAGAGAGGGAAACAAGGAAAAATTGAGCTATTTGAAGAGAAGAAACAGTAGGAGGAGAAATATGAGTTGAAGGAAGAGGAAGGAAGGATGCAAGATAAGAGAGAAAAAGAAGCGGAGGTTGTGTTATAATAATAAAATATGAAAGAGTAGGAGGAGAAATCTGAGTTGAAGGAAGAGGAAGGAAAAGAAGTGGAGGTTGTGTTATAATAATAAAATATGAAAGAGTAGGAGGAGAAATCTGAGTTGAAGGAAGAGGAAGGAAGGATGCAAGATAAGAGAGGAAAAGAAGCGGAGGTTGTGTTATAATAATAAAATATGAAAGAGTAGGAGGAGAAATCTGAGTTGAAGGAAGAGGAGGGAAGGATGCAAGATAAGAGAGAAAAAAGAAGAAGGAGGTTGTGTTATAATAATAAAATATGAAAGAGTAGGAGGAGAAATCTGAGTTGAAGGAAGAGGAAGGAAGGATGCAAGATAAGAGAGAAAAAGAAGCGGAGGTTGTGTTATAATAATAAAATATGAAAGAGTAGGAGGAGAAATCTGAGTTGAAGGAAGAGGAAGGAAGGATGCAAGATAAGAGAGGAAAAGAAGTGGAGGTTGTGTTATAAAAATAAAATATGAAAGAGTAGGAGGAGAAATCTGAGTTGAAGGAAGAGGAAGCAAGGATGCAAGATAAGAGAGAAAAAGAAGTGGAGGTTGTGTTATAAAAATAAAATATGAAAGAGTAGAAGGAGAAATCTGAGTTGAAGGAAGAGGAAGGAAGGATGCAAGATAAGAGAGAAAAAAAGAAGGGAGGTTGTGTTATAATAATAAAATATGAAAGAGTAGGAGGAGAAATCTGAGTTGAAGGAAGAGGAAGGAAGGATGCAAGATAAGAGAGAAAAGAAGCGGAGTTGTGTTATTAAAATAAAATATGAAAGTGTAGGAGGAGAAATCTGAGTTGAAGGAAGAGGAAGGAAGGATGCAAGATAAGAGAGAAAAGAAGCGGAGGTTGTGTTATAATAATAAAATATGAAAGAGTAGGAGGAGAAATCTGAGTTGAAGGAAGAGGAGGGAAGGATGCAAGATAAGAGAGGAAAAGAAGTGGAGGTTGTGTTATAATAATAAAATATGAAAGAGTAGGAGGAGAAATCTGAGTTGAAGGAAGAGGAAGGAAGGATGCAAGATAAGAGAGGAAAAAGAAGCGGAGGTTGTGTTATAATAATAAAATATGAAAAGAGTAGGAGGAGAAATCTAAGTTGAAGGAAGAGGAGGGAAGGATGCAAGATAAGAGAGAAAAAGAAGCGGAGGTTGTGTTATAATAATAAAATATGAAAGAGTAGGAGGAGAAATCTGAGTTGAAGGAAGAGGAAGGAAGGATGCAAGATAAGAGAGAAAAAGAAGCGGAGGTTGTGTTATAATAATAAAATATGAAAGAGTAGGAGGAGAAATCTGAGTTGAAGGAAGAGGAAGGAAGGATGCAAGATAAGAGAGGAAAAGAAGTGGAGGTTGTGTTATAAAAATAAAATATGAAAGAGTAGGAGGAGAAATCTGAGTTGAAGGAAGAGGAAGCAAGGATGCAAGATAAGAGAGAAAAAGAAGCGGAGGTTGTGTTATAATAATAAAATATGAAAGAGTAGGAGGAGAAATCTGAGTTGAAGGAAGAGGAAGGAAGGATGCAAGATAAGAGAGGAAAAGAAGTGGAGGTTGTGTTATAAAAATAAAATATGAAAGAGTAGAAGGAGAAATCTGAGTTGAAGGAAGAGGAAGGAAGGATGCAAGATAAGAGAGAAAAAGAAGCGGAGGTTGTGTTATAATAATAAAATATGAAAGAGTAGGAGGAGAAATCTGAGTTGAAGGAAGAGGAAGGAAGGATGCAAGATAAGAGAGAAAAAGAAGCGGAGGTTGTGTTATTAAAATAAAATATGAAAGTGTAGGAGGAGAAATCTGAGTTGAAGGAAGAGGAAGGAAGGATGCAAGATAAGAGAGAAAAAGAAGCGGAGGTTGTGTTATAATAATAAAATATGAAAGAGTAGGAGGAGAAATCTGAGTTGAAGGAAGAGGAGGGAAGGATGCAAGATAAGAGAGGAAAAGAAGTGGAGGTTGTGTTATAATAATAAAATATGAAAGAGTAGGAGGAGAAATCTGAGTTGAAGGAAGAGGAAGGAAGGATGCAAGATAAGAGAGAAAAAGAAGCGGAGGTTGTGTTATAATAATAAAATATGAAAGAGTAGGAGGAGAAATCTGAGTTGAAGGAAGAGGAAGGAAGGATGCAAGATAAGAGAGAAAAAAGAAGCGGAGGTTGTGTTATAATAATAAAATATGAAAGAGTAGGAGGAGAAATCTGAGTTGAAGGAAGAGGAAGGAAGGATGCAAGATAAGAGAGAAAAAGAAGGGAGGTTGTGTTATAATAATAAAATATGAAAGAGTAGGAGGAGAAATCTGAGTTGAAGGAAGAGGAAGGAAGGATGCAAGATAAGAGGGAAAAGAAGTGGAGGTTGTGTTATAAAATAAAATATGAAAGTGTAGGAGGAGAAATCTGAGTTGAAGGAAGAGGAAGGAAGGATGCAAGATAAGAGAGAAAAAAGAAAGGGAGGTTGTGTTATAAAAAAAAAAAAAATATGAAAGTGTAGGAGGAGAAATCTGAGTTGAAGGAAGAGGAAGGAAGGATGCAAGATAAGAGAGAAAAAGAAGCGGAGGTTGTGTTATAATAATAAAATATGAAAGAGTAGGAGGAGAAATCTGAGTTGAAGGAAGAGGAAGGAAGGATGCAAGATAAGAGAGAAAAAAAAGAAGGGAGGTTGTGTTATAATAATAAAATATGAAAGAGTAGGAGGAGAAATCTGAGTTGAAGGAAGAGGAAGGAAGGATGCAAGATAAGAGAGAAAAAGAAGCGGAGGTTGTGTTATAATAAAAAATATGAAAGAGTAGGAGGAGAAATCTGAGTTGAAGGAAGAGGAAGGAAGGATGCAAGATAAGAGAGAAAAAAAGAAGGGAGGTTGTGTTATAATAATAAAAATATGAAAGAGTAGGAGGAGAAATCTGAGTTGAAGGAAGAGGAAGGAAGGATGCAAGATAAGAGAGAAAAAGAAGGGAGGTTGTGTTATAAAAATAAAATATGAAAGTGTAGGAGGAGAAATCTGAGTTGAAGGAAGAGGAAGGAAGGATGCAAGATAAGAGAAAAAAGAAGGGGAGGTTGTGTTATAATAATAAAATATGAAAGAGTAGGAGGAGAAATCTGAGTTGAAGGAAGAGGAAGGAAGGATGCAAGATAAGAGAGGAAAAGAAGTGGAGGTTGTGTTATAAAAATAAAATATGAAAGAGTAGGAGGAGAAATCTGAGTTGAAGGAAGAGGAAGGAAGGATGCAAGATAAGAGAGGAAAAGAAGCGGAGGTTGTGTTATAATAATAAAATATGAAAGAGTAGGAGGAGAAATCTAAGTTGAAGGAAGAGGAGGGAAGGATGCAAGATAAGAGAGAAAAAGAAGCGGAGGTTGTGTTATAATAATAAAATATGAAAGAGTAGGAGGAGAAATCTGAGTTGAAGGAAGAGGAAGGAAGGATGCAAGATAAGAGAGAAAAAAAAGAAGCGGAGGTTGTGTTATAATAATAAAATATGAAAAAGAGTAGGAGGAGAAATCTGAGTTGAAGGAAGAGGAAGGAAGGATGCAAGATAAGAGAAAAAAAGAAGGGAGGTTGTGTTATAATAATAAAATATGAAAGAGTAGGAGGAGAAATCTGAGTTGAAGGAAGAGGAAGGAAGGATGCAAGATAAGAGAAAAAGAAGCGGAGGTTGTGTTATTAAAATAAAATATGAAAGTGTAGGAGGAGAAATCTGAGTTGAAGGAAGAGGAAGGAAGGATGCAAGATAAGAGAAAAAAGAAGCGGAGGTTGTGTTATAAAAATAAAATATGAAAGAGTAGGAGGAGAAATCTGAGTTGAAGGAAGAGGAAGGAAGGATGCAAGATAAGAGAAAAAAAGAAGGGAGGTTGTGTTATAAAAATAAAATATGAAAGAGTAGGAGGAGAAATCTGAGTTGAAGGAAGAGGAAGGAAGGATGCAAGATAAGAGAGGAAAAGAAGGGAGGTTGTGTTATAAAAATAAAATATGAAAGAGTAGGAGGAGAAATCTGAGTTGAAGGAAGAGGAAGGAAGGATGCAAGATAAGAGAGGAAAAGAAGTGGAGGTTGTGTTATAAAAATAAAATATGAAAGAGTAGGAGGAGAAATCTGAGTTGAAGGAAGAGGAAGGAAGGATGCAAGATAAGAGAGAAAAAAGAAGAGGTTGTGTTATAAAAATAAAATATGAAAGAGTAGGAGGAGAAATCTGAGTTGAAGGAAGAGGAAGGAAGGATGCAAGATAAGAGAGAAAAAGAAGCGGAGGTTGTGTTATAAAAATAAAATATGAAAGTGTAGGAGGAGAAATCTGAGTTGAAGGAAGAGGAAGGAAGGATGCAAGATAAGAGAGAAAAAGAAGCGGAGGTTGTGTTATAAAAATAAAATATGAAAGAGTAGGAGGAGAAATCTGAGTTGAAGGAAGAGGAAGGAAGGATGCAAGATAAGAGAGAAAAAAGAAGGGAGGTTGTGTTATAAAAATAAAATATGAAAGAGTAGGAGGAGAAATCTGAGTTGAAGGAAGAGGAAGGAAGGATGCAAGATAAGAGAAGAAGAAAAAAAGAAGGGGAGGTTGTGTTATAAAAATAAAATATGAAAGAGTAGGAGGAGAAATCTGAGTTGAAGGAAGAGGAAGGAAGGATGCAAGATAAGAGAGAAAAAGAAGTGGAGGTTGTGTTAAAAAATAAAATATGAAAGAGTAGGAGGAGAAATCTGAGTTGAAGGAAGAGGAAGGAAGGATGCAAGATAAGAGAGGAAAAGAAGGGAGGTTGTGTTATAATAATAAAATATGAAAGAGTAGGAGGAGAAATCTAAGTTGAAGGAAGAGGAGGAAGGATGCAAGATAAGAGAGAAAAGAAGCGGAGGTTGTGTTATAATAATAAAATATGAAAGAGTAGGAGGAGAAATCTGAGTTGAAGGAAGAGGAAGGAAGGATGCAAGATAAGAGAGAAAAGAAGGGAGGTTGTGTTATAATAATAAAATATGAAAGAGTAGGAGGAGAAATCTGAGTTGAAGGAAGAGGAAGGAAGGATGCAAGATAAGAGAGAAAAAGAAGCGGAGGTTGTGTTATAATAATAAAATATGAAAGAGTAGGAGGAGAAATCTGAGTTGAAGGAAGAGGAAGGAAGGATGCAAGATAAGAGAGGAAAAGAAGTGGAGGTTGTGTTATAAAAATAAAATATGAAAGAGTAGGAGGAGAAATCTGAGTTGAAGGAAGAGGAAGGAAGGAAGGATGCAAGATAAGAGAGGAAAAGAAGCGGAGGTTGTGTTATTAAAATAAAATATGAAAGAGTAGGAGGAGAAATCTGAGTTGAAGGAAGAGGAAGGAAGGAAGGATGCAAGATAAGAGAGGAAAAGAAGCGGAGGTTGTGTTATTAAAATAAAATATGAAAGAGTAGGAGGAGAAATCTGAGTTGAAGGAAGAGGAAGGAAGGAAGGATGCAAGATATGAGAGGAAAAGAAGCGGAGGTTGTGTTATTAAAATAAAATATGAAAGTGTAGGAGATATTTGAGTTGAAGGAGAAAAATGGACAGATGCAAGACAAAAGAGAAAAACCAATGTGTTATTTAAAGAGATGAACACGAAGATGAAAAAGAAAGAAACACCTGCTTTAGACAAAGATATTTTTCTCTACATTTAAAGTAAATATTTTTCTAGATTCTAACGAAGTAATCATCAAATTAACAAATGTTCGTTGCGTCCTTTCTTTCCAAAAAGACTTCCGGGATATCCTTTTATTAAATCTGTGCGGTCAGACAGCAATCCTGACGTAATCAAAGTTTATTACGCATAAAAAAAAAACAACTTATATTAAAAATTAGTCGAGATTATGATGTATAAGAAATTTAAGCTACTTGAGCGTGTATCGGCTGTTTTTTTTTTGTTTTTTTGTTATGTTTTTTTTTTGTTTTTGTTTGTTTGTTTGTTTGTTTGTTTGTTTGTTTGTTTGTTTGTTTGTTTGTTTGTTTGTTTTAGAGACGCTGCGTTGAGCTTTTGTTTAAACTCTGAATTTCAAAAACACTTTTGGTGCATTTTGATTTGTGGGAAAATAACTGCGTTTGTTTTTCATCCGAAACTAATCCAAAGGTTTCCCTCCAAATTTTCGGGACATACCTGTAGTAATAAAAGGGGGCCTTGGATTTAATTGATGGAATCGACGAACATCTGCTGCTGGCACCCAGGTTGCCCCGGTCCAGAAATGACAATACAAAAAAAAACTGACAACCACCAGATGAGAATTTGAAAAGAATATCAAAGTCGCTCCCACATCAAGGAAAAGTCTTCGGCTGGTGTGATTGTTCTATTCTTCACTGTTACCACGAACTTTGCTTCGAAAATTGTGCCAGTTCTTTGAAAACTATTGAGAGAAATATTTTCTACAAATTTTATGTAGTTTTTCTTTTCTGAGGACCTTATACAGCATTATAATTTTGATTGTAAAAGAGCATATTTCATTTGCAATGATTATTTTTACATTCATGTTACTGGCCATCATTTGGTACAAAATGCACTTAATTTGTGTAATTCTTTCAATTTTGTCTGTTAAAAATAAATTTATCGTTTGTTTTTAAATTTGGTCTCGTGTCGTCTGTCTTTGTTGAGTGACTATATGAATTAAACGTTACCTCGAAAACATTTGTCTGAACTATTTTTCATAGATTTTTTTTACCATCTATATAATAAATGCGAATTTCAGTGTGTCACTGGGTCCCACTTTTCCAACTTCACTCTTAGAGGCCAAAACCCAACGTACCATACCATTCTGGAATCAGGCGGACTCTGTGAGCAAATTAAAAACATTCCTAAAATTTTGGATTCCCAAGTTTTCATTTATGCGATTGCTTTCGGCGATTTTTGTACGTGATTTTTTGTGACAAATTTTTTGTACAACAGTTTTTATAAATTGGAACTGTGCATATAAGTGATGTGTAAGACTTCCGGTAACCTTTCTTTTCGAACTGTGCATATGTGACGGAGTGTGTAGGACTTCCCGTAACATTTCTTTTCGAACTGTGCATATAAGTGACGGAATGTGTAGGACTTCTGGTAAAATCCTGAATATAAATAAAAGAAATGTATAGAAGTTTCGTCGAGCATCATAATCTTCAGTATTTTGCCCAAACGCGTGTATGAAGGGCTATTAAAATTAGTTTAAAACCAACTTTAAACAGGCAAAATTAATTTTAATTCTTAATTTTAATTTTCTTGAAATTGAAACCAAAATTAACATTTCAAAGATATTTAAATTATTGCAATATGTTTGCAATAAATTAAAACAATAGTATTATTTTTTAATGTATAATAATAACAATAAAAACCCAATCCACTACGTCATATAGAAAGATTAAAAACATTCTAAAACATTTTTTTTAAGTGCCAAAAAGGAATTTTGCTTATGGCATTTTATTGCAGCATATTTTTTGGTAATGTGTGCAGAAAATGAAGGACGTATCAGGTTTACACTTTTAGTCAATCTTTCAAGAAGTAATGGTTTCCATTGTACTGAAGGCGCCATGCTTTTCGAATTTGTCTGAGTGGGAATACGATTTTCAAGAATTTTCAGAATGCAATGATTCCGTATATAGTAAATAAACTTGATCCGAACGATTTAATTTTTCCGCTTTTCTTTTTCATCCTGATTTAGAAATTTTTTTAAATTTAAATTTTTTTCGTGCATTAACATTTTTTTACTTTTTAATTTTTTTTTTCTTTTTTTCATAAATTTTAGCTTTAATCCATCAGGATGAGCTACGACGCCCCATGTGCCTTCAACAAAGATGATTCGCCCTCATTGCCTCCGTATTCCAAATGTAAGGAAGAAGTTCCACTCGGACATCTTTTTCCACAAAATTACTAGTTTGTGAAACAGATTCCCTGAACATTATAAACTTAACCTCTTCGAGTCAAGGGTGAACTATTATCTATCACCTCTATCCTCGTAATTTTCACTTCCTACCACCTGTTTTTTCATTCATATCACACACCTTATTCATTATATCCATTTCAGCTCTCTCTACCTTGAGTGAACCTCGAGTATTATATTAGGTGAACCTTAGTATAAAAATTTACACGAGAACGTGCTCTATTTTAATTACACGGAGTACAGCTTTTAGATAGATAATTGCAAAGTCTATCCGTTAAAGGTGCAAATATGCGGGAGTAAGACTATTTAGCGCCAATTGCCGAAGTGAAGAGACCTTTCTGCATTGAATAACAACATTCGAAATCCTTCCTAATTCCTGAGCTTGAATATGAACTACTTTAACCTTTGAAATCTACATCATGACTTTCAAATACTGTTAGCGAGTTATTAAATGTGCCCCGCGAAACGGTAAAGGTTAAGGCTTCCAATCCATCTATCTCCGCCAATTTCGTCTCTCTCCTTTGTCAGCTGTGGACTGCCACCTTGACTCCCGCTGCCTAGTGACCCTGCCACCCTCCATGTCTGACATCTTAAATGCAAGGAAGTGTTTCTTTTGGGTACTACAGTTTGGCATAAGCAGATCCGTCGATTTGGGAGGTCTTCTATTCAGGAGGTCTGGTATCGTTGTGGATCAGCGAACCCTCCTTAAAACTGATACGTCGGATATCAGAGTAAGATCTACGAATTAAAGATATTCATCTGGAGATGTTTGTGTGTGTGTGTGTGTGTGTGTGTGTGTGTGTGTGTGTGTGTGTGTGTGTGTTTTTTTATATTTTTTCCCATTCTTTCATTTACTTAACAGCGCATTTTTTTATCCCTTTTTATTTAAATTTTTTTGTCTCCTTCTTTCGACTCTTATAATGTTTTTCATTTCTTCAACTTTTTCTCAGCTTTTTTCTTTCTTTCCTTTTATTTTCCCGCCAAATCTATATAGTCACTGTATGTTTGCTTTTATATTTTACCCCATTCTTACTTTTATTTTAAGGGGGCATTTTTTATTCATCTTTATTTAATCTTTTAATTTATTTTTTTTGTCTTTTTCTGTTCTTCCTAAAATCTTTCTTTCATTTTTCTTTTTTTCTTTCTTTCTTTCTTTCTTTCTTTCTATTTTCCCGCCAAATCTATATATTAACAATATATTTTTCTTTTATATTTTTTCCCATTCTTATATTTTACCCCATTCTTACTTTTATTTTAAGGGGGCATTTTTTATTCATCTTTATTTAATCTTTTAATTTATTTTTTTTTGTCTTTTTCTGTTCTTCCTAAAATCTTTCTTTCATTTTTCTTTTTTTCTTTCTTTCTTTCTTTCTTTCTTTCTTTCTTTCTTTCTTTCTATTTTCCCGCCAAATCTATATATTAACAATATATTTTTCTTTTATATTTTTTCCCATTCTTATATTTTACCCCATTCTTACTTTTATTTTAAGGGGGCATTTTTTATTCATCTTTATTTAATCTTTTAATTTATTTTTTTTTGTCTTTTCTGTTCTTCCTAAAATCTTTCTTTCATTTTTCTTTTTTTTTCTTTCTTTCTTTCTTTCTTTCTTTTCTTTCTTTTCTTTTTTCTATTTTCCCGCCAAATCTATATATTAACAATATATTTTTTTTTTTATATTTTTCCCATTCTTATATTTTTTTTCCCCATTCTTACTTTTTATTTTAAGGGGGCATTTTTATTCATCTTTATTTAATCTTTTAATTTATTTTTTTTTGTCTTTTTCTGTTCTTCCTAAAATCTTTCTTTCATTTTTCTTTTTTCTTTCTTTCTTTCTTTCTTTCTTTCTTTCTATTTTCCCTAAAATCTATATATTAACAATATATTTTTCTTTTATATTTTTCCCATTCTTATATTTTACCCCATTCTTACTTTTTATTTTTTAAGGGCATTTTTTATTCATCTTTATTTAATCTTTTAATTTATTTTTTTTTTGTCTTTTTCTGTTCTTCCTAAAATCTTTCTTTCATTTTTCTTTTTTTCTTTCTTTCTTTCTTTCTTTCTATTTTCCCGCCAAATCTATATATTAACAATATATTTTTTTTTTATATTTTTCCCATTCTTATATTTTACCCCATTCTTACTTTTTTTTATTTTAAGGGGCATTTTTTATTCATCTTTATTTAATCTTTTAATTTATTTTTGTTTGTCTTTTTCTGTTCTTCATAAAATCTTTCTTTCATTTTTCTTTTTTTCTTTCTTTCTTTCTTTCTTTCTTTCTATTTTCCCGCCAAATCTATATATTAACAATATATTTTTCTTTTATATTTTTTCCCATTCTTATATTTTACCCCATTCTTACTTTTATTTTAAGGGGGCATTTTTTATTCATCTTTATTTAATCTTTTAATTTATTTTTTGTTTGGCTTTTCTGTTCTTCCTAAAATTTTTCTTTCATTTTTCTTTTTTTTTTCTTTCTTTCTTTCTTTCTTTTCTATTTTCCCATAAATCTATATATTAACAATATATTTTTCTTTTATATTTTTTCCCATTCTTATATTTTACCCCATTCTTACTTTTATTTTTTAAGGGGCATTTTTTATTCATCTTTATTTAATCTTTTAATTTATTTTTTTTTTCTTTTTCCTGTTCTTCCTAAAATCTTTCTTTCATTTTTCTTTTTTTTTTTCTTTCTTTCTTTCTTTCTTTCTATTTTCCATAAATCTATATATTAACAATATATTTTTCTTTTATATTTTTTTCCTTTCTTATATTTTACCCCATTCTTACTTTTATTTTTTAAGGGGGCATTTTTTATTCATCTTTATTTAATCTTTTAATTTATTTTTTTTTTGTCTTTTTCTGTTCTTCCTAAAATCTTTCTTTCATTTTTCTTTTTTTCTTTCTTTCTCTTTCTTTCTTTCTTTCTTTCTTTCTATTTTCCCGCCAAATCTATATATTAACAATATATTTTTCTTTTATATTTTTTCCCATTCTTACTTTTATTTAAGGGCCCATTTTTTATTCATCTTTATTTAATCTTTTATTTTTTTTTTTTTTTTGTCTTTTTCTGTTCTTCCTTAAATCTTTCCTTCATTTTTCTTTATTCTTTTTCTATCCTCTTTTTCTTTCTTTCTTTCTTTCTTTCTTTCTATTTTCCCGCCAAATCTATATATTAACAATATTTTTTTTATTCATCTTTATTTAAACCTTTAATTTTTATTTTTTGTCTCTTTCTTTCTCTTCTTCCTTTCAATGTTTCTTTCATTTTTTCCTTATTCTTTTTTCCTATCCTATTTTTCTTTCTTTCTTTTTTTTTATTTCCCCGCCAAATCTATATATTCACAGTATATATTTTTTTTTAATTTTTTTTCCATTATTTCATTTATTTAAGAAATCATTTTTTAATTCACCTTTCTTTCACTTTTTCATTTTTATTTTACTGTTTCATTCTTTCTCTTCTTCCTTACAATAAAAGTGCAAATAGTATGGGCAAGCCGAGTTCAAATTTCGGGCTAGTCAAAATTGCGCTCATTTTCGCACCAATGCTCTTGGCAAAGACATAAATCCGTCTCTTTAAATTATTTTGGGTTTTTTAATCCCGTGTGCAGGACCGGATTGGGACCAGTTGGGAACCCTAGGCTACTGAAATTATGTTCCCCCCCGTCAGAGGGAGCCAGCCTCTAACTCGCCCCTACCAATATTAAATATTATTTACTCGTGATATATTTTAGCGACATTTACTTAGCTTGAAATAAATTTATTGCAAATTCTTTAAATAAACTGGATTAATTAAGTTTTGTTTCACATTATAAAAAGGACAAATTCCGACAATTATTTTAAGACATTTTTATGTTTATACATTCTTTTTATAGATACAAATATTTAAGTAAATGCTCAGTTTATAATAAACAGTATTAAACAACATTTACCGGCCTGAATGTCCGAGAAATTTTCACCGAAAATATTCGTCCTCCGACAGGATTCGAACCTGTATTCTATACGGAACCGTCATTTAGCAACGTCGAATTTACTCTATTTGAACTTCAATCTTCTATGAATCTCTGACGTACATTCACGGAGGACGAATATTTTCTGTGAAAATTTCTCGGACATTCAGGCCGGTAAATGTTGTTAATACTGTTTATTATAAACAGAACATTTACTTTAATATTTGTATCTATAAAAAAATGTATAAACATAAAAATGTTTTAAAATAATTGTCGGACTTTGTCCATTTCATAATAGGTGACGTCATTTGTTTACATTTGATACGCCATGAGCAGATATGAATGTACGTGAGAGATTCATAGAAGATTGAAGTTCAAATACAGTAAATTCGACCTTACTAACCAAACGCTCCTTCATGGCCAAATCGGTTAAGGCACGTCAAGCTAAATGACGGTCCCGTATAGGATACAGGTTTTTATTCCTCTCGGGAGACGAATATTTTCTGTGAAAATTTCTCGGACATTCAGGCCTTTAAATGTTGTTTAATACTGTTTATTATAAAGAGAGCATTTACTTAAATATTTCTATCTGTACAAAGAATGTATAAACATAAAAATGTCTTAAAGTAAGTTTTGTTTGCCAATGAAAACATTCTCTAAAAAATATTACCATTTTTACTATTTATTGCGGACGAAATTAGTATCTAAAGGGTGTACCAATAACTTGGACCGATTTTAAATGTGAATTAAGTTTAAAATCGGTCCAAGTTATTGGAACACTCTTTATTTCAACACAACCGTAGTAAAAAGAAATAGATATTTTTATAACCATCATTATAAGCAAACTTGAGGATCCCTAGGCTGAAGTCTATCCCTATAGGATAATCGGGCCTTACTTGTTTGACATTCCTGTCTAGAAGAAGGGCTACACTGGATTCCGAGGCAGCTTGAATAAAGCTCAAAATCGTTTACGGAGTATTTAGGCCCAAAAGTTCAGGCCTTTTTACAACTAGAACACGTCATGCTACTTCCGCGTAGTTGAATCACCCTTATTTCCCCCGTGTTCCATATGTAAGAAGAAAATTCCACTCAGACAGCTTTTTTCCCCCAAGAACTGATACTTTATGGAATAGAATGGATGCTTCCCTGAAAAGATACAACTATAATCTCTTCAAGTCCAGGATCAGTACTCACCTTCCTTCTTATCAACATAATCTTTAAATAATTCATTCGTCATAAGCATATTAATAGTAGCGCTCTTCCTTGAGTGACTCTCGAGCTTTGCATTGGATGAACTTTAGTATAAAAACGGTAAATTAGGATGTGATTTAATATAGGGTTCCATATCGTTCAGAGGTTATAATTCTTTTCTGTTATCGGTCTCGCCGTTCTTTTATCACTTGTGGGCATCCATAGTCTTTACGTGTCGCTGATGTTTGCCCGGACTTCGCAACGTCTTGGCATATCTTTGCCCCTGTCGTTCGAGAAACACCTACAGCAGTTGTCAGCTTGGAGATAGAGAAACATATCTTTGCTTTAATATCTCGTCCTTCAATTTTAAATTATTCTTGCTCCTCCCCATCGTTCTTTTCTTTTACTGATATAGCTCTCTCTCTCTCTCTCTCTCTCTCTCTCTCTCTCTCTCTCTCTCTCTCTCTCTCCTTCTCTCTCTCCCTTCTTTTTTCTGTCTCTCATCTTGAATATTTTTCCTCTTCCTTTAACCAAAATTTCCTCTCACTAGTTCACCCTCTCTTTAGATAGCTCTATATCACTTTCATTCTCTATCATTCATCTCTCTCTCTTCTTGCTTCTCTCTCTTATTTTACATATTTCCTTCCTCTTCCTTCAACCAAAATTTCATCTCCAACTACTTCAACTTCTCTTTAGAAAGATCTCTCTTTTTACTCTCTTTCTGTCTTTTATCTCTCTTCTTTTTCTCTCTTATCTTACATATTTCCTTCCTCTTCCCTTCAACCAAAATTTCATCTCCTACTACTTCACCTTCTCTTTAGAAAGATCTCTCTTTACTCTCTTTCTGTCTTTTTACCTCTCTTCTTTTTCTCTCTTATCTTACATATTTCCTTCCTCTTCCTTCAACCAAAATTTCATCTCCTCCTACTTCACCTTCCCTTTAGAAAGATCTCTCTTTTTACTCTCTTTCTGTCTTTTATCTCTCTTCTTTTTCTCTCTTATCTTACATATTTCCTTCCTCTTCCTTCAACCAAAATTTCATCTCCTCCTACTTCACCTTCTCTTTAGAAAGATCTCTCTTTTTACTCTCTTTCTGTCTTTTACCTCTCTTCTTTTTCTCTCTTATCTTACATATTTCCTTCCTCTTCCTTCAACCAAAATTTCATCTCCTCCTACTTCACCTTCTCTTTAGAAAGATCTCTCTTTTTTTTCTCTCTTTCTGTCTTTTATCTCTTCTTTTCTCTCTTATCTTACATATTTCCTTCCTCTTCCTTCAACCAAAATTTCATCTCCTACTACTTCACCTTCTCTTTAGAAAGATCTCTCTTTTTACTCTCTTTCTGTCTTTTACCTCTCTTCTTTTTTCTCTCTTATCTTACATATTTCCTTCCTCTTCCTTCAACAAAATTTCATCTCCTACTACTTCAACTTCTCTTTAGAAAGATCTCTCTTTTTACTCTCTTTCTGTCTTTTATCTCTCTTCTTTTTCTCTCTTATCTTACATATTTCCTTCCTCTTCCTTCAACCAAAATTTTATCTCCTACTACTTCACCTTCTCTTTAGAAAGATCTCTCCTTTTACTCTCTTTCTGTCTTTTATCTCTCTTCTTTTCTTCTCTCTATCTTACATATTTCCTTCCTCTTCCTTCAACCAAAATTTCATCTCCTACTACTTCACCTTCTCTTTAGAAAGATCTCTCTTTTTACTCTCTTTCTGTCTTTTATCTCTCTTCTTTTTCTCTCTTATCTTATATATTTCCTTCCTCTTCCTTCAACCAAAATTTCATCTCCTACTACTTCAACTTCTCTTTAGAAAGATCTCTTTTTACTCTCTTTCTGTCTTTTATCTCTCTTCTTTTTCTCTCTTATCTTACATATTTCCTTCCTCTTCCTTCAACCAAAATTTCATCTCCTACTACTTCAACTTCTCTTTAGAAAGATCTCTCTTTTTACTCTCTTTCTGTCTTTTATCTCTCTTCTTTTTCTCTCTTATCTTACATATTTCCTTCCTCTTCCTTCAACCAAAATTTCATCTCCTACTACTTCACCTTCTCTTTAGAAAGATCTCTCTTTTTACTCTCTTTCTGTCTTTTATCTCTCTTCTTTTTCTCTCTTATCTTACATATTTCCTTCCTCTTCCTTCAACCAAAATTTCATCTCCTACTACTTCACCTTCTCTTTAGAAATATCTCTCTTTTTACTCTCTTTCTGTCTTTTATCTCTCTTCTTTTTCTCTCTTATCTTACATATTTCCTTCCTCTTCCTTCAACCAAAATTTCATCTCCTACTACTTCACCTTCTTTTAGAAATATCTCTTTTTTTACTCTCTTTCTGTCTTTTATCTCTCTTCTTTTTCTCTCTTATCTTATATATTTCCTTCCTCTTCCTTCAACCAAAATTTCATCTCCTACTACTTCACCTTCTCTTTAGAAATATCTCTCTTTTTACTCTCTTTCTGTCTTTTATCTCTCTTCTTTTTCTCTCTTATCTTATATATTTCCTTCCTCTTCCTTCAACCAAAATTTCATCTCCTACTACTTCAACTTCTCTTTAGAAAGATCTCTCTTTTTACTCTCTTTCTGTCTTTTATCTCTCTTCTTTTCTCTCTTATCTTACATATTTCCTTCCTCTTCCTTCAACCAAAATTTCATCTCCTACTACTTCAACTTCTCTTTAGAAAGATCTCTCTTTTTCACTCTCTTTCTGTCTTTTATCTCTCTTCTTTTTTTCTCTCTTATCTTACATATTTCCTTCCTCTTCCTTCAACCAAAATTTCATCTCCTACTACTTCACCTTCTCTTTAGAAAGATCTCTCTTTTTACTCTCTTTCTGTCTTTTACCTCTCTTCTTTTTCTCTCTTATCTTACATATTTCCTTCCTCTTCCTTCAACCAAAATTTCATCTCCTACTACTTCAACTTCTCTTTAGAAAGATCTCTCTTTTTACTCTCTTTCTGTCTTTTATCTCTCTTCTTTTTCTCTCTTATCTTACATATTTCCTTCCTCTTCCTTCAACCAAAATTTCATCTCCTACTACTTCACCTTCTCTTTAGAAAGATCTCTTTTTTACTCTCTTTCTGTCTTTTATCTCTCTTCTTTTTCTCTCTTATCTTACATATTTCCTTCCTCTTCCTTCAACCAAAATTTCATCTCCTACTACTTCACCTTCTCTTTAGAAATATCTCTCTTTTTACTCTCTTTCTGTCTTTTATCTCTCTTCTTTTCTCTCTTATCTTATATATTTCCTTCCTCTTCCTTCAACCAAAATTTCATCTCCTACTACTTCACCTTCTCTTTAGAAATATCTCTCTTTTACTCTCTTTCTGTCTTTTATCTCTTTCTTTTTCTCTCTTATCTTACATATTTCCTTCCTCTTCCTTCAACCAAAATTTCATCTCCTACTACTTCAACTTCTCTTTAGAAAAGATCTCTTTTTACTCTCTTTCTGTCTTTTATCTCTCTTTTTTTTCTCTCTTATCTTACATATTTCCTTCCTCTTCCTTCAACCAAAATTTCATCTCCTACTACTTCACCTTCTCTTTAGAATTATCTCTCTTTTTACTCTCTTTCTGTCTTTTATCTCTCTTCTTTTTCTCTCTTATCTTATATATTTCCTTCCTCTTCCTTCAACCAAAATTTCATCTCCTACTACTTCAACTTCTCTTTAGAAAGATCTCTTTTTTACTCTCTTTCTGTCTTTTATCTCTCTTCTTTTTCTCTCTTATCTTACATATTTCCTTCCTCTTCCTTCAACCAAAATTTCATCTCCTACTACTTCACCTTCTCTTTAGAAAGATCTCTCTTTTACTCTCTTTTCTGTCTTTTATCTCTCTTCTTTTTCTCTCTTATCTTACATATTTCCTTCCTCTTCCTTCAACCAAAATTTCATCGCCTACTACTTCACCTTCTCTTTAGAAAGATCTCTTTTTTGGAATTCTTTCTGTCTTTTATCTCTCTTCTTTTCTCTCTTATCTTACATATTTCCTTCCTCTACCTTCAACCAAGATTTAATCTCCTACTAATTCACCTCCTCTTTAGAAAGCTCTCTCTCTCTCTCTCTCTCTCTCTCTCTCTCTCTCTCTCTCTCTCTCTCCCCCTCTGGTTTATCTTCCTTATCTTGTATATTTTTCCTCTTCCTTCAACCAACATTACATCTACTAGTTCACTTTCTCTTTAGAAAGCTCTCTCTCTCTTTCTCTCTCTTTCACTCTCTCTCTCTTTCTCTCTCTCTCTCATTTTCACTCTCTCTTTTGTTCTCTCTCTCTCTCTCTCCCGTTTCTCTCCCTTATCTTACATATTTCCTTCCTCTTCCTTCAATCAAAATTTAATCTCCTGCTACTAGTTCAACTTCTCTTTAGAAAACTCTATCTCACTTTCATTCTCTTTCTGTTTCACTCTCTCTCTCTCTCTCTCTCTCGTTTCTCTCTCTTATCTTGCATATTTTTTCCTCTTCCTTAAGTCAAAATTTAATCTCCTCCTACCAGTTCAAATTCTCTTCAGAAGTCTCTCTCTCTCTCATCCCCTCCCCTTTCCCCTACATTGCCTCCTTAACTCCCCCTCTTCCTGTTCCTCCCATTTGTTTTTATTCAAGCTCTCCTCCCTTTTTCACCATTTTTCTTCTTTCTTACCACCTCCTCGTAATATTTCTATTCATTCTTGCTGCCTTTACATGTCTCTTTCTCTCTCTTTGTACCTTTATTCCCTCTTTTCCATCTTTATGACCTCCTCCTCACACTCATGCAATAAGTCCCCAGGTTACCCCAATCTCGACATACAACGATTCGTGGTTACGACGCAATCTCCATTAATCTTGTTTGACTTACGCCTTTTGTCTCGTACATATGATGCAAACGGCGTGGCGGAAGAATACGCGGTGTGGCGGACGAATACATTGCATGATGGCAGAATAAGTCGTGATACGGCGTTAGAAGGCGGCATTTCATTTCATTATATGCATTATATTTATGCCCTCCATGTTTTTTAGTCCTAATTATGTTAATATTTATCATAGAAATGTGTTGTTATGTCTTAGATTATTACTTTACTATTATGTTAGCGTAGAAATGTGACGTAAATGCTTATTCACGGAAAATCGCGGGTATTTTCCGACTTACACGGAGAATCGCATCGTAGGTACGGAACTATGTCGTAAATCGAGGACATTCTGTATTCTACTACTTCCTTTTTATTCTCCTCCACGGTTTTCTCCTTTTTGACTTTGAGAATTTTTATCTTTCATCCGATCTGTGATCTACAAATTGGATAAAGAGTTACGACCATAAGAGTGGATTCTTTCTAATTTTTTTTTCCTCTCTACACTACTTCTTAGCTTCTCTTCGTCGCTGTCTCTCTCCTTTAAGACGGGGATGATCATTGCTCTCCACGACTTCCTACCCAGTGTACCTCAAAGGAACATGTAATTCTTTACCATCACCCTTCATTCACATAAACACATTAAGTGTCAAGCTATTTCCTTTTACTCTTCGTTTTCTCAATTCGTCCTGTGAGTATTAAGTTTTCCATGCCGTCCTTCCTTATAATGCGTTCCAGAACGTTCAAATATTTCTTCCTGATTTTAAGCATGATTTTCTTTGTAGATTCCCATTTTGTTTAGTACTTCCTCATTGCACACCTGTTCTGTCTATGGTATTCTCTGCATTTTAATAGATTCTGTAACGTTGGTGGCTCTAAATCTATCACGTTCTTTCCTGTGAAAAGAGATTTTTATAAAATACTTTTTGGAAATAAAGATTTACAAAGGAATTCTCGATAAGAAAGAAAGACTGCGCGTTATCAAGTAGGGCCTTTAAAAGAAGGTAGGCGTTCCGACTTGTTGCCGTTACTTGTGACCCGTAGCCACACACTAAGCTGATCCTTCCTTACTTGCATCAGAATCATCAAAAATGTTTCACGTTTCACCCGACCGATGATCCAAGACGTGGATAAAGTTTTACGACATTAACAGGGATTCTATCTTTATTTATCTAAAGTTTTCTCTCTTTTTTTCTTCATTATATACTTTTTTTTCCCCGAACGTCTTCGACTCCCCTTCTTTTTGCTGGAATATTTTTCATGCTTTTTCTTTTTTCTCATGAATTTTCTACTGATATATATATATATATATATATATATATATATATATATAATCTATTCTCTAAGCATATTTTTTACTTATTCTACTAATATATATATATATATATATATATATATATATATATATAAATAGAAAAAATATATTCATATTCAGGAAATGGATTAAATCCGACAGATTTTTGTCATTTATTTGTGTTTAAATGTTATTTTTTATATGGATACTCATATTTGAGTAGATGTCTTCTTTTTATTTATTTATTAAACAGTATATTTATTTATTTACATCTTCCGACCTGGATATTCAAGAAATCTTGTCAGAAAAATATCTGTCCTCCTGAACAAGATTTCTCGAATATTCAGGCCGGAAAATGTAAATGAATAAATATACTGTTTAATAAATAAATAAAAACAAGGCATCTACTCAAATATGAGTATCCATATCAAAATAACGTTTAACAAAGAAATTTATATATATATATGTGCGTGTGTGTGTGTCTGTGTGAGTGTATTTTCTTATTCTTCATATATATATATATATATATATATATATATATAAAAAATATATTTAGAAATATATATATATATATATATATATATATATATATAAAAATATATTTAAATATATATATATATATATATATATATATAAAATATTTTTAAAATATATTATATATATATATATATATATATATATATATATATATATATATATATATATATATATATATATATATATATATATGTATAAAATATATTTAGAAACTTTGGGGTCGGTTCCTCACCCGAAAACAAGGTAAAATGTCCATATAATCATATGTTCAAAAGAACAACTCATAAAAAATATTCAAAATGTCCTCCGCTTGCTTCTACACACGCATGCACCCGTCAGATCATTGACTGGCGAACCCTTTCAAATACTCGCAGGCCCCCATGACACGTTGATGAAGCGTCTCTGCATTATCAATGTCTGCTGCATAAACAAATTGTTTTAGGTGGCCCCAGAGACAAAAATCCAAAGGTCAAGGGAAAGTACAGTCCATGGAACTGGTCCTCCCTACATATCTCTATTTCATAGTAGATGTCATCCAGTGTATCGCGGACAGTATGACTAGAATGTGCTGGAGCTCCATCATGTATGAAACACATCTTCGTATTAACAGGGGTACATCCTCTAGCAGGTCTGAAAGTGTGTCCGAAATTCCCTGCAGACAGCTTCTGTAAGACGTGCTGGTCGAACATATGGACCTACCAGACAGTCACCTACAATTCCAGCCCACGCATTAATCGTAAATTGATGCTGGTGTCTAGCCTTTGTTTTGTCATGGGAATTCTGATCCGCCCACGAATGTCGGTTGTGGGAATGGATTTCCACAAGCGAGAACTGTTAGCATAGATACTACGGTTATATCTAGCCAGCTCAACTGTAAATTGATGAGATCTCGACGCCAGTCAAGTACTACGCTTAAATTCAAAAAGTCTAGATATCATAGCGAAGAGCTCAACCGAACAACTTCCATGAAAGTATATTTAGAAAAGGCACAGGGGGGGGAACGTTACGTCAGTGGGGAAGGGACTGAAGCCGAGACGCCAGATCAAGACCAGTAATATTGCTGATTCTTCTTTGGATTTTATCAGGGAGCCCTAGATAAATCTCAGGAGCACCGGAATATAAGTGGAAGCAATATTCTAAGCATAGACGAATTATAGACATATATATGTATAAATAGATTTTGGAGAGAAAACTGCTCGCCCGACACAGTGAACCAAATTTCTTCGCAGCTGACCTAGGAATATATATATATATATATATATATATATATATATATATATATATATATATATATGAAAGGATGCCCCAGCCGTAACCCAAGTTTCCCGCTCATGCGATCTTCAAACATTTTGAACGCTTCAAGTCCTCTAAAGATCGCTTGAAACTCGGGTTACGACCAGGACTATAGCAATCTTTGCTCTGTTTAGGTAATCTCGACGTTGAACACTTTATTTTACCGTGTCGGGAGGTGTTTGTCTTTAGGTATCTTTTTTTATTATTGCTATACTTGCTCGAGATTTTATTTTATCTAGATTAAGGGTATTTAGGACTTTTGGCAAGTTATCCGTTTGTTACACCAACGATTCAGGTTTTTCTTTAACATATATATATATATAATATATATGTAGAAATATAGTAATAATATATATATATATATATATATATATATATATATATATATATATATATTATCATTATTATTACTATATTTTTATTATGAGAGATTATAATAAAACATTGTACATCGCTACACAAAAGCTTTCATGTTTCGTTATTATGATTGTACTTCCTCAGGCGATGGTTGATAACTTGTGATAAAAAAAAGCGCCTGAGGAAGTACAATCATACTATCGAAACCTGAAAGCTTTTGTGCAGCGATGTAAAATGTTTTATTATAATAAAAATATTATAATAATATATTGCTCTACTTTGTATTGAGCACTTTTTATAAACGCTACGAACTGCGGATTTTTACGACATCCGTTTTTTGTCTTATTTGTATATATATGTGTATATATATATATATATATATATCCGTTCTTTCTCTTATTTGTGTGTGTATATATATATATATCCGTTCTTTCTCTTATTTGTATATATATATATATATATATATATTTATATATATATATATATATATATATATATATATATCCGTTCTTTATCTTATTTGTGTGCATATATATATATATATATATATATATATATATATATATATATCCGTTCTTTCTTTTATCTGTATATATATATATATATATATATAAGTATATAATTGGTATATACGGAATGAATTCCAATAACCAACAATTACTATTCTTAAAAGAGTGCTCAATACAAAGTAGACCAGATATAATTATTATTTATAAAAAAATTATAACATAAGTATGTTATAAAATCACTACAAAAATAGCCATTTTGTTTCAACACCCTCGGTGTCTTATCAAGTGATGATGTTGAAGTAACATATGTATTTTTTCTTTTCTCAATAATTTTGTAGTTTTTAACTTAATAGTGATTAAATTTGGATTTTAAAATTGGCAGTTTTTAATTTTAATATTAAATTTTATCACATAATTTTATAATTATTGATTAGTATAAATTATTTTTAATATTACCCGTATTTTAAAGATCTGAATAGCTATTATAACATGATTTCGTTGTCAAGCTTTTGAATCTTTCTATACTTGGTTTTTGATTGGTTATTCTAGCTTTTGTAACAATGTTTCCCCCTAATGTAGGATCGTTAATTAATTTGAAACTTTAAAACCATTTATTTTATCTTCAACATCATCACATGATAAGACACCGAGTGTGTTGAAACAAAATGGCTATTTTTGTAGTGATTTTATAACATACTTATGTTATAATTTTTTTTATGAATAATAATTATATATATATATATATATATATATATATATATATATATTTTCTTTCTCTTATGTATATATATATATATATATATATATATATATATATAGAGAGAGAGAGAGAGAGAGAGAGGTGGGAGGCACCTTTTTTTTCTCAAATGTTTTAGGAAGCTCCTCTATGTGGTTATTTTTTATAATTTTTTTCGTTTCT